CTGCCCCCCCCCCCCCCCCCGCCCCCTTCCCGGGGCACCCTCTCCCCATGTCAGCCGGGCCCCGCTGCCACACGCAAGTGGGCAAAGTCACCCTTACGGTAACAGCTTGATAAATGGGCGGGCGGTAATGAAATGGAGACATCAAGGCGTGGGGCGAGGAAGAAAGAGTGGTAATCGGAACGAGTGGAGCTGTCCCGAAACGGAGGGGAGCGGGAAGAAGGATCGCCTCTGCGCCGTGTGCTGTCAAGGGAGAAATTACACATTTACTCTTGCTTTTTCTTAAGGAGACGGCCCTCATAGATCAAAACATGGATTTACAAGCCAATTTTCAACATGAAATATAGACACCAGGAATCAATTTAAGCCCGGCTTCTATTTTAGCAAACGGTGCCTGCGTTTAGTCCCAGGTAAATAACACCAGCCGGAGCCTTCCCCCTCCCCGCCTCGTCGCCCTGCCGCCGCTCGCTCTGGTGGCCACACCGGCCGGCTCCCGGCACCCACTTTGTCCCCCGTGCTGGGGACGGCTCAACTCACCGGCCCGGCCACCAGCTCTCTGCCAGCCTGGGGCCAGCGGGCACGGGGCAGCACCCAGGGCTGGCTCTGACAGGGATGGGGATGACCCCGAATGGCGGCAACAAGCAGAGAGAGCCAGGTGCCACACAGCCCCTGCCCGAGGGGAAGAAGGAGACCCTGCTGGGCTGGTGGAGAGCAGCTCTGGCATCAGCTGCCATCCACATCCTGGTGCAGGGACAGCCCCTTTGCTGGCCAGTGCCACCAAGCGATGGGGTACTGGAAGAGGAGGCCACAGTGGCCGGCACTGGGCTTGCAGGGAAGCAGTTACTGGCCAAGAGCTGGGGTCCAGCTTGCAGGAACACCATCTACTGGCTCTTCCACTTGGGAATTTCACTGAATTTCACTGAATTTTAGAGTTGGAAGGGACCATAGAGATCATCTAGTCCAACTCCCCTGCTGAAGCAGGATTGCCTAGAGCTAGAGCATGTTACTCAGGACCCAGGGGTGGATCTCTAGTTTTGGAGGGATGTGGCAACCGGCAGCCTGGGCAATGCCACTGCTTCAGGAAAGGTCATGGACATGAATCCATCCCAGTGCAGAGTGGGGCCACACTGGGATACAGGTGGTTGGTGTTGGGGAGGCAGAGGAGCCTACACTCACCCCACACTGCTGGAAGGCACTTTGGACAGAGTGCCTCAACTGGTGGGGACATGAGGGCTGTGCCCGGAGCTGCACGGTCCCCCCACGTCCCCAAAAGGGGACGTGGGGGGCCGTGCAGCTCCGGGCACAGCCCCAGCATGGGATTTGGAGCTTGTTCTAACATCTCCTGGTGGGATCGTGGCTCTAACCCAGCATCTCTGTGCTCTCTCCGCAGATGACTGTAAGAACATCGCCAACATCATGAAGACACTGGCCCATAGAGGCTTCATCTTCAAGCAGACCTCCAAACCTTTTTGATCCCCAAGGCAAGCCAGGCAAGGGCTGCATGTGCCCGGCGCCGGCGAGGCGGGGGAGGACGGGCTCCAGCATTAAAATAAAATGGCAACCGAGGCCAGAGGAACCGACACTAAAAAAAAAAAAAAAAAAAAAAAAAAAAAAAAAAAAAAAAAAAAAAAAAAAAAAAACAATTAAAAAAAAAATCAAAAAAAAAAAGAAATGAAAAGAAAAAAAAAAAAATCTCAATTTCAGCTGTTAACTCCAGTAGAGGTTGTATATATGGGAAGGCAAATCTGTGTAGACCTGATGTGACTCCCTCTCTGGGCTGCTCCGGACATTATGCCATGCTAGCGGACAGCCGCGTAGGGCGCTTGCACCACATTTTAGACTCGTAGTTTGTTCTTTTTTCTTTGGCTCCCCATTTCCGTCCCTCCTTTCCATATCCCACCCCCCCCCC